TCAGAAGATGTCTTAAACAAGATTTTCCCTTGGTGAAATCATGTTGGCTCTTTGACACTATATCAAACTGATTTAAGTGACTCTGGGTACTATTCTTCTCCAATTTTACATGTAGTAAAATCTCAAACCTAATAGTGCAATGGTTGATTGTACTTAAATGCTTACCAACTACAACTCTGCCTATCATATTCACATCTGATGCTAATATTAAATCTAATATAGCTTTCTTTCTTGTAGGTTCCATCACTAGTTGGTGTATAAAAGTATACTGAACAATTTCCAAAAACCTACCCCCCCCCTCACTGTCAGATCAATTTTCTCAGTCATTACCTCCTGAAATTAAAATCTCCCATAATAACATCTTTTTCAGCTATCATTCTGATCTCATTATTATACAGTTTCTCATTAAATTCCACATTCTGACCTGGTGATCTGTAACAAATCCCAATTACAAGACTTTTTCCTTTATATCCACTAACCCAAATTGACTCAGCCTCAGTGCTACTTTCTTCAATATGCTCTAACTCAACAGGATGCAATTCACTCTTCACATATAAAGCTACTCCTCCCCCTTTTTTCAATACTTTATCTCTAGTAAATAATCTGTAGCTTGGTATTTCAAAAAAAAATCTCTTCAAAACTGTTCAAATCCAACCAAGTCTCAGTGATACCCATAATATCAAAATCCTCAGTTATCACAACTGCTTAGAACTTGTTAGTTTATTTCTAATACTCCAGCATGACAATAGTAACAATTAATCATAGAGTTTAAGTTACATTAATGTATTGTGCCTGTTGTACATGTTTTCTTGTCAATTATATTTTCTATTTTACTAATATCATAGTCCTCACCTCTGTCTAGGCGTGGTTTAAATCTACCACTACGGCTGAGGTAATAGCCCTTGATAACATGCTAGCCCTTGCCTTGTTTAAGTGTAAGCCATCCATTCCAAAAAAATTAACTTTCCATTAAAATTATCCCATAAGTCAAACTAGCCTATTTGCTCATTCCTACATATATATGTAACCCTGGCATTCAGTTCTAGTGACCTATATTTATTCTTGGTAATATGCCTGATAAAATCAAGCTATGAACCTTTTCCCTAAATGCTCTTATCAATGTTTTATACTTATCAATAAGCTCCTCAGATCCATCACTGGCCCGAACATGTACCACAAAAACTGCATTGCTACTTGCGCCTTTAACTATATCTCTGGTTCTATTAGTTATATCCTTTACCCCTGCTCCTGGATAGCATAAGTGTATTATTTTGCTCCTATTTACTTCACATTCTATTCTATCTACATGCCTAACTAGAGAGTCATCTACAACTATAACTTCCCTATCTTTTACACCATCATCCCTTGTGATCCCATCTGTTTACCTTACCTGCTGTCCCTCATCACTAGCAAGTGCTTGGAACCAGTTGCTTAACCTAAACCCAAGCCCATCCTTGCCCCTAAATGCATAATTTTTCAAACTTTTTGCCTTATTTCATTTCTTAGTTCCCTTGAAATCCTGTTTGCCAACTGTACCCTTTGCATATAAAAGTTTAAGTTCTTCACTAAGCCTCACCACCAGTTCAAGCAATTTAAATTTATCCCTTTCTGCATATGTAACTCTACCCAACCTGCACACCCTGTGAATAAATTGTACATCCTGGCAACTAGCTTACCTAAAAATACACTTTAAATTTAACCCAGAGTTTATAAATAAAACACTCTCCTGGTTATCTATCCCACTCTATCAATGGAGAACCCTTAGTAGCTAGACTATTCTTAACCATAACTGATAATTA